CAGTTGATTGTCTTCCATTCTACAGACCGGTCATGCCAAGTTTCCTTTTTTTGATGATTTGAATGAAATTTACTTGTATGTCCCACTCTTCTCCTAACTATTTTCTGTTGCTAGTGGATGTGTGGAAATCTGTAGCCCTTCATCTCAAATGCTACCAGGGCATCTTTGTCCATGTGAGTGTCCATGTCTCAAACAAATACAATACCACACTCATCATACATGTTCTAATGATGTCAAGTTTTTGTTTGTATGCTGATGTGCTTGCTCTTCCAGATGTTCTTGAATCTGGCCATGACTACCATAGCATTTGCGATTCTTTTCTTATCTCCTTTCCTGCAGTCATTATCCCAGCTCAGTAGACTGCCAATGCTGATCTTTAGCTTTGCTGCCTCTCCTGCTTCGTTAAATTCTCTCCAGATTTGCTTGGAGATTGTCTTTGATCTCTGCCAGTGTGATATCACCTGCAAATTTAAGGTTGCTTATCCTGGAGCCATTCACTGAAACTCCAGTGCTTTTGTCCTTAATTGCATCCATGACTCTTTCCACGTACAATATGAGATAAAAGTAGTTGGAGATATCAGATCACCTTATCTTGTTCCGACTGTTGTTGAACCAGTCTCCTAACACTTCGCCTCGCACTGCTGACTGTGAGGTTAAATGAGCAACCAGGAAGCACTAAATTAGAATTTTAGCTCTTCTTGTACACCAACTTTGAGCTTCAGATGGCAAAAAGATTTCGTATTTTGATTATAAAATAATCAAAACATATTCAGCTTGAAAAAAACTGACAGAGCTTTAATTTACATTTATATGGTTTTTAAATATGATTCGATGAAAGGCATGTTACATGTATGTAACCCAACTTAGCTTTTTGGTAATATGTAGTGGTGCCAGTTAGTAGTAATTGTCAATAATAATAATGTCAAGTTCAACATGTGTTTAAACTTGAAAAACGAATATGGACAAAGAAGGAGGTCTGTAAGTTATTTCTGGTTCAATGCTCTAATAGTCAGTATGAGCTCTGTGTTTTGAATCACAGTGCTGTGAAGGACCCCGTGTACAGGTTACTTTTTTACACCTTTACAGCACTTTTTCTTTTAAAGTGAACATATACAAAAACAAAGGTTGTGACACGGGTGACACGGGTTTATACACTGACCATAACAGTGAGTGCACACGCCCTTCTTTCTCCTTATAGAAGGTAAACATGTCTGCGTTTTAAGTGTTTACTTCCTGCCGTCCCTGCCAAACTTTAAATGTAATAAAATGCAATTTTACAAATAAGCCACTGACGATTTCATCAGCTAATTTAGTGTGATACGGCACCTCTCTTCCTGCAGAGTCAGTTAGCCCTGCACAAACAACGGATCCTGTCAGCTGGATTCTTCCTGTGTGGTGTTTGCATGTTCTCACTTTATCGGCTCCTGTTTCCTCTGAGTGCTCCGGTTTCCTTACACAGTCCAAAGACATGTAGAAAGGGTGGATTGAATATTCCAAGTTGCCAGAAGTGTGAATGTGTTTTCCCCACTGTGTGACAGACAGCTGCTTGACCCAGGACATGCTGAGGAAGCCTCTAGTCCTCCTGTGACCCTGAACAGGAAATAACAGACATATAAAAACAGAGAAGCATGACCACAATCCCACCTGTTTGCTCCTAATGACTGTTTTTAAGGCTATTTCATGATTTAATTCAGAAATGTTTCCCAATTCCAACCCTGAATGCACCTCTTCAAGGTAAAAAAACAAACAAACACGGTTTCTATCAGGATCCCTGAAAGGTTTCCAAGACATCAATTTTGGTTACTGCAGCACTTTTGCATTCATGTGAATTCAGCATCACGAAGAAAACATATATCTGCAGACCCAGGTTTATCTTTTCCTGTCTCCCCACCAGAGCAGATAACATAAATATTCTCAGATAGGAAAAAAACACAATTGACATCCTCCAAGCACAGAAGCCTAAATGCAACACTTATTTTTTTCATTTTATCAGCATGACTGGAAGAAAAGATACATGTGTATATTAAATGGCTGCAGGGATAATAAATCCTTTTTACATGATAATGCAATGAATGTGTATTTCTGTCTCACATGATTATGACTGCTTTTTTTCATACATTAAAAGCCTATCGTAGTTTAATATCTCATATGTTTTGCATATTCTGTGCATCATAAACAAAACACAATTTGTGTGATCTACTAAGACAGAGATCTATGGTGTTGTTTACTGTTAGTTTACTGTGTAATGTGATTTAAAATATGTGTGAAAGTGACTGTATAGGACAAAATATGAAAACAGTATGTTCAAATAAAAATGCAAAAATGAGTAAGGAAAGTACTCTATAATGCTGCTTTCTAAACTGAACACCTGATCAAAAGAAAGTACTTAAAATATATATACATATATATATACTTAAGCAAAACTGAATAATTACACTGCAGGGAGGGTTATTGGAGTGACACATTTGTTATTGTTTTGAATTTGTATTTATGAGTCAACCCTGTCGACTGGATTCTGACTCTGTGTATTGTTTTGTGAAATTGGCAGCAGTGTGGCATCCCAAAAGACCTGAATTGTTAGAGTCACAGGAGCAAGACACCAGTAAAATTGAATTATTCTACATTTCCTTTACACCCCTTGCCTCTTAACAGGGAGCCCTGCTGGCCCCTAGACCCCACTTTGAGAACCACTGCATCAGAAAATTTGTTTTGCACTACAAATCTGAGATCTGTGGCAAATAGACCATCACAGCTGCAGTGTGAACACAGCCTGCACAGCCAGAACCTGAAGACTGAATGATTTTTTAATTGCAGGTGGACAATTTTTTTTCAAACTGATCCCAAAGTAATATCTTGTTTCCACAGGTTCTGTATTATTCTGTTTCCCATATGACAATAGCTTTGTTTTCACCACATCGAAACAATGAGAAAATATCTTGTCCTCATGAGATAAAAAGTACCTTTGTTTGGAACATTGATCTTGTTCCAACATGATGTGTTCAATAAAATTTAATAATAAAAATTAACAATCGTAATGGAATCATTTGTAAGAACAGCATATATGGATGTTGTACCTAACATCATAGATAAAAAATACCATCTTTTGGGATATTTGTCTCGTTACACCATGATTTCTTCCCACAACCGAAACAGACTGTCAACCTCAAACTGAAATCTTCTTTTAAAGTTTCTGCAGTTGGAAAGTGTCTATGGATGATTTTAAATTGTACTTCTTCAGCTTCTTTAAGATTTTAAATATTTTGAGTAATTATTCAAGATTGTTATGTAAATTTTTTTTGGCTCTTATATAATCATTAAAAAATTCACACTGCATGCTTTTCGTTATGTTTTTGTACGTGAGCCTCTGACCGGTTGGCAACCAGTGGTGGAATGTAACTAAGTACATTTACTAAGTACTTAAGTAAAATTTTGCCATACTCTACTACGTCTCATGTGCAAATATGTTTTTTTCTCCACTAGATTTGTCTGACATCTTTAATTACTAGTAACATTTGAGATTACAATATGGCATACCCTTCATGTCCAGGGAAAACTGTGTTATCTTTAAATTTGGTGTTTTTGAATTAGACTTTTTCTGATCTGTCTTTCTGCGCTCATGAAATTTTCAGTCTTTAGCGATGCTACACTTCAGGACGACACTACAAATACACATATGATGATCTTATAGAATATGATGCATTGCTGTAGATCAGAGGTTTTCAAACTGGGAGGTGGGCCCCTCCAGGGGGGCTCCAAACATCTTTAGGGCAGCCTCTGTGAACTGAAGTAAAACATATTACATTAGTTATCAAAAGGAGATCACATAGAATAGCCTAAATGTGTGTGGTCTGGTTAAAGACAGAGGTCAGAGATACAGGAGTTTTGGGGATTTTTACTGTTGGGAAATCCATGAGGACCATCTCCAAACACAGTCATGTAATTAACGTTCACTGACGGCCTCTGGTTTATCGGGTACTGGGTAAATGTAAGTGATGTGTCCAGGGGATCATGTCTTTCATTGTTTTACATCATGTACCTGGCTATACTAGGGCTGAGTGTGTTTGCGACAGATTTAGATTGAATGTCCTCCAGAGGACCTCTTAAAGACAACATGTTCCAGTAGTAAGATGTTGCTGACCCTGAGATTAGGATAAAAGCTCTATGTGCTGAGAAACTGCAGCTCACTCGGATGATACTCTGATGTGTGATGTGTCCCAGTGAGTTCCTTCTGCAGAAGACTTGAATAAAATTCACAGAAAGAGAAGTGTTTGCCTATGCTGTTTATTTGAAAACTCAAATCTCCATCACACTTCCCAGAGTCAAGAACTAAAAAGGGCTTTTGGATGGACCTTTTATGTATTTGGTTTAGTCTGAAGTTACGTCAAACAGCAATGTTAGCCAACCATGGCTTAACTGTTAAGTGTCTATGGGATGAAATATCATAATAATAGGCATCCAGGAATTACGCAAAACTAAGTAAGTAAACTAAGGGGGTTGGAGGGGCTCATTCTCCCAAGCTTTGTCTGACGGGAGAACCACAGTCTGTGACTTTGAAAACCCCTGTTGTACATTAAACAGTAACAGTACAACAGTAAAGTAGTTTAAATGATCTCAAACATCTACAGCAGTAAAATGCAACATACACACTAATGCAGCAGGAATATGAATCCAGAAACATCATATAATAGTACAACACATATAGGGATTAAAGTACTTTTACTTTAGTTAGTGTAAGTAGCCTACATTTTGCTGACAATACTTACATACTTTTATTTCAGTAAGGTTTTGAATGCATACCATTTACTTATTGTACAGTACTTTTACAGTTTGGTATTAGTACTTTTACTTCAGTATATGATCTGGGTAATTCATCCACTACTGTTGCTGCCACTTTTCAGGCACGCTGTAAAAAGCAGCAGTCAGGAAACCAGAGGCGGTCACGTGACACAGGCTGGAGGCGGGGCTCTGCGTCTGCACCGGCCAGTAGCAGCGCAGCGTCGGCCCAGGTCCCAGCAGTTCCATGGGAAAAAAAAAACCGTGAGAGGAGACGAATAACGGTACACTCCAATTTTTATGTAGTCTGCCTTTAACCGCACCGCATCTGCGTGTCCTCTTGTGATGCACACATGAAAGAAAGTGTTTGGAAACGGACGCGGTGAACGGCGTTTTTTTGGGGGGGGGCTGACGAAAACAAGCGGTCCACCATTGTCTGCGTAGAAATAAGAATGGCCTGGATGTGGAAGGTAAGTGGAGGTTTCTCTCTCACAGACATTTCAGCCAAAAAGGGGGAAACACATAAGGAGCTCCTGACGTGGCTGGCTGCGCATTTAAACGGATGTGAGGTGAAATGTGAGCCGGCGTGGAGGTGGTGGTGATGGTCCGTGGAGGTGATTAACCCTCCCCTGGTTTCTCTCTGTTTGCCTGTTTTCCTTTGTGGGAGTCTAAATGTGATTTTCGCTCCTGCCCATATGGGAAAGCAAGGCCCTCGTGTTTGTGTTTTTATTTATTTTTTGATTTCAGTCCATGCTTGTGTTTATTGCTGTGGAAAAAGCAGTCAGATGCAGGCCAGCCAGCCAGCCTGCCAGCTGTGTTCCCTTCACAACATCCCCCATGATATGTTCAGGTGTTGACATGATTTGAGGAGTTTGGCCTGTAGAGCTGCTTGAACAGATGAGGGGGAAAGTTAACAAAAAGTTGACTCTCATCCTCTTCTTCTTTTCTTTTCAGTTAAAAATCAGTGATTAACAAAATTTGACATCAACATCACTGCAAGAGATTAATGTGTGGTTGGACAAATATGGGACAACGATACACTGCATTTGTGTCAGTTAGGTCTGTAACTAATATTATCCGTGATTAATTTCTCAATTTCTCTCTATAAAATTTCACAACATAGGGAAAAATGGCCATCACAGTTTCCTCGTGTTCGAGGTGACATCTTCACATAGTTTGTTTTGTCTGACCAACAGTCTGAAACCCAAAGGTATTGAGCTAACACTGATAACAGAGGCAAGCAGAAAATCCTCACATTTGAGCAGCCGGAAACTAATGACTGATAGTTGTTTCTTGGTAAATGTCTTAAAAATGAATTGTTGGAGATCCATTTTTTGTTTTTGCAATTAATCATTTTGTGTATAAAATGTCAAAAGATGTTGATTGTCAGTAACAGTTTTGCAAAGTTCAAGTTGACGTCTTCAGATAGCTTGTTTTATCCATGCAACAGTCCTAAAACCCCAAACTGGTCACATTTAAGAAGTTGAAATAAGCAAATTTGGGGAAAATGACTCAAATGTTTAATCCATCCCGAACTGGTAATTAGTGAAATATGTAGCTGAACTAAGAAACTGGCAAATTCAGCTCTTTTATCCATTCAAATGCTTATTCATTTCTCAATTATGCATTTTAGCTATAAAATGTCAGAAAATTGTGATAAATAAAGTCCAAGGTGACATCTTTGCATTGTATTCTTTACACTTTTTAAAGCACTTTGTAACTTGTTTTTGAAAAGTGCTCTACAAATAAAGATTATTATTATTATTATTATTATTATCATCATTATTATTAGTATTATTATTATTGCTTGTTATATTCAACCAACATTCAAAAAACCAAATCTGCTCCATTTCCCAACAAGATAAAACAAACAGCAAATCCTCACATGTGGGCAGCTAGAGCCAGCACATGTTTTCTCCTTTAGAACTGATTTAAACAATTAATCGATGATCATAATTGTTGTTGATCAACTTGTTTTGTCTGACCAACAGTCAAAAACCCAAAGATATTCCTTTTACAATGACATTAAAGAGAGAAAAGCAGCACATCTTTATATTGGAGAAAGTGGAATCAGAGAGGGAAAATAGTGCTAATGAATACTAATGGATGAATTGACTAATCATTTCAGCTCTAATGGATTTCTGTATGAAAGTAAGTGTGTGTGTGTCAGTGTTTCACAGGCACATAGCCCTACACACTCACACCATGTCACCATCACACCACTTGATGCCACCCCCCCCCCCCACACACACACACACTCAATTACAAACATATGAAAATGTTGTTTTACATGTCATCTGTGTTTTACCTTCTTCCACAGTTTGCAAGTGGCTACATTCTCTTATGAAGTTTGTTAGTAGTTTAAAAACAAAGGGACATTATGGTTGAAATCATTATCATGATATTGACTATATAGTATCAGCTACATACAGGCTTTGTATAAAACTGAGATACTTTTAGGTACCAAACATTGGCGTTAAAGACTTGGTCCAAATTCTTGGATCAGAAATTTCTGTGTGATCTGCTTACTGTGTGATCTGCTTATTTTGTGGAATGTTGAAAAATGAAAAAGGGTTTTGTAGGAACACTTTTTTATATTCTTTCATGTGAGGCATAATAATCATTTTCATAACTGAGTCTGCCGATTATTTTCTCAAATAATTTGTCAATTGTTTGTGTATGTAAACCATAGTAAAATAGTGAAAAATGGCCATCATATCTTCTTAAAGTCCAAGGTGAATTTAGTCTCACTCACTTAAGACGTAGAAAATTTCTTGCGTGAAAAATGACTGAAATGATAAATCAATTATCAAAATAGCTGCAGATTATTTTTCCTGATCAACATCAAAAATAGTCTTTTATGCGACTGCAAGTCACAAAATGCAAAACAAAAGTGCATTTGGAAATGTTGCTTTCATATTGTTTGCGTCTTGTCTGTCACTCTGTCGCCGTTTGTTGTTTCCAAAGGGTACCCAAAATCCTGCCGCACAAATGATTTAAAAGTGGCGGGGCATCTTCTATGCTAATTTCACCTTGTCATGCTGGAATTGTGAGAGAGCTTTTCACCCCAACGAGAAATATTGTTATGCTGTAATATTGCAAGATCTCGTCCTCGCCCCTAGTTGGCACAGGTGTTGAAATATCTCGATATGCCAAATGTCTGCAAAAATCACATAAAACGAGCATGAAAAAACAACAAGTGTAAAACACTTCTTGCTTGCTTGGAATCAAACAAATGACAGATTAATAGCATGTGACGCGGTGCTAATTGAGGATTTTTCTCTTCATTCATCCTGCTGGCGTCTGCAAACAGTCTATGTAGTTGCAGATATTACAAGCATCACTTCTTCTGAAGAGTCCACATGTATATTTTACAGAGTCAGACAGTCTGTCACACAGTCTTAGTTTGGTTTTGTCAGACTTCGTGTTTTGTGCTTTCACACAAAATGCATTCAATGACTACTTTCTCCAAAATCCATGAACTCTTTTCTCATTACTACTTCACCACTGTTTTGGTTGAACAAGTTCATTTTGAGACTTGTATGAAGTGTTTTGGTGGTTTGAGTGACTTTTGCAGGTGAGATTAATTGTTTGGCCAAGATGCATGTTGTTAATGCAGACTGTGTGAAGAGTTTTGAAGTGGCTTTAGTGTTGACCATTGCATCTTAGCAATTGAAAAAAACTGTAAAGACACTTTAAGGTTCCTGTCAATTCTCCAGCACCCAGAAGAAATGAGAGTTTAGTCACTTCACAAACTCATTCAGGCTGTTTTTGTTATCTGAGTCAGGAGTTATTTTCACTCTAGAGTTGGCGCTGTTTTAATAAAAAAGGAAAATGTAACTACATGGTACAAACTGCACCACAACCACAAGTGCTAACATTTCTGATGGTTATGGTAAGGGTAGGGCGCTTCGGGGGCTGTCAACAACTTTAACACAAACATAGCTAGCTAGCAGTCTTTTTTATGAAGTTGATGGAATAAATGTTCTTGCTAATAACTTAGAAATTCATTTAAAATTTTAAAAAAATATTAGTTTTCAAACGTTGTGTTTTGTTCATATCTTGATCACAACTCTTTAATTTGATTTAATTAAGGGTTTACAAAATGGTAGCAAAATGATTCACTGTCTACTTGTGACCTCTTGACACAGATTTTATGTTCCTTACAGTTTTTCCTCGATTGTTTACACGCATTTTCTGAAAGAATGCCTCATATTCTCAGACTTCTACACACAAATCAAAAAACACACAATGGGCAAAACCCCTCAATTCTCCTGCAAAATGAAACTTTACATTCAAAACAATGTTATTTCTTCTCAAAATGGTATTTTGTTTTCAAATGACACACAAACCATCATATGAATAGACATTCATAAGAACCAGTTGAACACTGATGTGCTCAATGTAAAACACTATGATGAATGGAAAACACTTCTTCTCCATTCATCATAATGACTTAGGCATTTTTTTTTGTTCAGTGTTACACTTACTACAGACAGTACATACATAAGTGTTGTAAAATATTTGTGAATATTGTTTTTATACTCAGAACACACAAATACATGGAAATATATTTTATTTGTCCCACAAAAACAATGTACACAGTGTACATCCCATTCCCAACCAACACAAAGCTGCACATACACTACATACAAAACAGCAGAAGAATTTACTGTACACAGTTACAGTAAAAAAAAAAAAAAAACTAAAGACAAACTATGCTGCATCCTCTCCTCTGTTGCGGTCTGGCCACAGCACCTCATCCACATCACAAGCAATGTTTTCCCTGGCCAAGCAGCGGGGGAAATGTCGCCTAGCATGGTGATTCCAGCCATGAAAAGCATCAGCTGCTATATCTCCACATGCATCCTCCATAGCTTGGAGAAGAGGTATACGCGTTTGTGGATTTCGGTCATACACTTTCCATCTCCAGGCAGAAAAAAAAATTCCTCAATAGGATTGAGGAATGGAGAATATGGAGGAAGATAAACAACTAAAAAGCGTGGGTGGGCAGTGAACCAGTTACGAACCAGAGCAGCCCTGTGGAAACTTACGTTGTACCAAATGACAACGTACCTGAGCTGCTCTGAACCATCTACCTGATCTGGTGGAATGAGTGTGTTGTGTAGGGTGTCCAGGAATGTGATCAGATGGGCGGTGTTGTAGGGGCCAAGGGTAGCATGGTGATGGATGATGCCGTGGTGGGTAATCGCTGCACACATTGTGATGTTCCCTCCGCGCTGGCCAGGGACTTCAACAATGGCACGCTGGCCGATGACATTCCTTCCCCTCTTTCGTCTTTTTGTGAGGTTGAACCCAACCTCATCAATGAAGATGAACTGGTGCTCCACTGCAGCCACCTCTAGCTCAAGGACTCTCTGAAACACGTTGGCATCCATTGCTCCATTGAAGAGCTCACCTGTTGCCCTTTTATGCTAAAGCTCTGATTGCTAATTGGAAAACGGGTGTT